ATCTACACTTCTTACCTGCGATAACGACGCGTACCAGTCGATTACTGCTACCATATTCTACTTGGTTATAATAGACAAAACCACTTACCTACTTCGTTCAAATATATCCCTTTCCGGGACATATCATACGACATATCAACTCTTTACAGGTTATTTAAAGCCAGAAATATTTTTAGATTGAAAGATTTTTTCTTAACATAATAATGATTGAGTGATAAATGTCTTACTGATTAACCCATAGCTGTAAATAGAGGAGATCGATTCATACCTAATCAGAATTTCATGAACACACAAGAAATTATAATGTTACTATAAAGTTAGGGATCAATTCTATATTACCATCAATATCAACATCTGATCTCTTATTTTGTGGCCACAGTAGTTTCTACACATCCCTTTTCCAGACTAAATAAAACACGCCTCTAGTAAACCAGTATTTCATTGACTGAGTGAATCTTTTTCTAAGGTTTATCAAACATTTATTTGAAGCCAGAAGATATTTTAGGTTGTCAGGTTTGTTCGTTTTTTTTTGTGTGTGTGTGTGTGTGTGTTAATAATAATTTAGTGATACAAGTTTTACCATAGCTAAGGGGAGAATAGGTGGATTCGTAACTTTTCCAAATGTATTTGAGCGTAAAGGAAAATATAACGAACACCACGGGAATTGGAGTTCGGCTCTCTGATTGACATTTCCTTGCCATTATACATTAAACCATCCACACACCAAAGTTTATCGCACCTGGTATTCTCAAGCAGTCACCCATCTAGTTGCAGACCTGGTCAAAGTTGCTTAAAATCGGTGGTCATACCGGAATTGGTGTTGCAAAGTGATGTGGCCTCAACGCTACGACTAATACGAATTATTATTATTATTATTATTATTATTATTATTATTATTATTATTATTATTTCCTTTGCTTTCTGGTGTGTACTCATTTCTTTGCGGGTCCCGTCCAGCTATCTAACATTCATTAATTTTTCAACTGACCGTTGTTTGAGAAAAAAAATCAGATCACTCATATTTTACATAGATAAAGCCCTTCGTAAAGTGTGGGCGATAATAGGAGAACAAATATTATTTTTTTGTATTATTATTATTTTTTTTATTTTCTTTGATTTCTGGCGTTTACACATTTCTTTCCGGGTCCCGCCCAGGGACCTAAGGTTAGAAATGGCGTCATGACACTTTCGACTGACAAAAAAAAAAAAAAAAAAAGATTACATAGATAAAGCCCTTCGTAAGGTGTGGGCTGTACTTGTTAGAACAATTTTCTGTATCTCCTTGAGGCATGGACTTCCAGGTATCCCTTCAATTAGTCTACTGGAATCTTTTCCAACCAGTCCTAGGGCTCCAACTACAACAGGGATTGTTGATGTTCCCATATGCCACATTTTCGCGATTTCTATTTCAAGGTCCTTGTACTTTGACAACTTTTGAATATCTTCAAAGATACATTGCAGTCGGCAGGACTGCCATATCAATAAGGAGGCACCGTTTTTGTTTATGGTCTTTAATAACAATATCTGGGCGGTTGGCCTTGATTGTTCTGTCAGTGTGTATTGTGTAGTCCCATAGAATTGTAACAGGTCCTATCTCTGTAACCGGGTCTGGGTGGTGTTCATACCAGTTTCTTTCAGTTTTCTTCCCGTAGAAGTTGCAGATTTTCCAGTGCAGATATTGGCCCACTCTGTCATGTCGGGTTTTATATTCAGTGGGTGCCAACACCGTACAACCTGCTACAAGATGATCAATCGTTTCTGGATATTTATCACAGAATCTGCATTTTGGACTGACACAATATTTTAGTAAATGTATTTATCACAGAATCTGCATTTTGGACTGACGTCCTTTGATTTCTGATGTGAACTCATTTCTTTCCGGGTCCCGCCCAACGACCTATGGTTAGAATTTGCATCATGACGTTTTTCACTGAAAAAAAAATACATAGAAAAAGCGTTTCGTTTGATGTGGGCTCTACACGTGAGAACAAATTTTGTATTTCTTTAAGGCATGAGCTTCCAGGGATCCGTTCAATTAGTCTACTGGACTGTTTTCCAACCAATCCGAGGTCTCCAACTACAACGGGGGTTGCTGATGTTCCATGTGCTACATTTTTAGGATTTCGATTACTTCTTCTTCTTCTAATTATTATTATTATTATTATTATTATTATTATTATTATTAATAATAATAATATTTTATGCTAAAATAAATTCAAACGGTCAGTTAGGCTCCATGCGTGATACACGCTTATGCCATCATATATCTTTCGAGACAGATGTTTTCCCGCAGTAGGTGGCTATTTCTTTCTGCAGTAGACCAGTTGCCATCCAAGGCTATAGAACCCGGTTTGCGCTGTTATTTACCCATAACTGGGAGTGGGGAGAAGGGGAGGATTCATACCTTTACCAAGGCTATTAGCATATAAATGAGTGTAATGGATTCGACTGGAATTCGAAACTCGGTTCTCCGAATCTTCAATCGTCAAATGTTAATGTTACTAATGGACGTGATGCTTATCAATTTTTTTTATTTTTATTTATAGTTTAATTAATTTATAGATTTATTTAATGTTATCGCCATCAGGTAATGTCATACATATTGATATTTTCATTGTCGTTATTGTCTAATTCATAATATCTTTATGTGTATACTTTTCATTATTGTGCATTTGTTTTTGTTTTTTTGTTTTTCTTCAGACTCGTTTGCGTTAGAAGCGTGACTAGCTTCTGCAGGATTGATTCGGTCCATGGCTATTTCGTAAGTATCGCTTCATTGACAAACATGCTTATGGTGAGGAGTTAATGGTCCGAGGAGCATTTTGTTTTTCTTTCATTCAATTTTCGACATGTATGGCCAGACGTACAACTAAGAGATAAAGCAATTACTTTGTACATTTATCTGGAACATATAGCAAATTGATTGGCATAGATTAACACTGAGTATGAATAGATTTATGTGCTCTACATATTTGATAAACTTAAATTAGTATTACATAAATAAATATGAAAGCAAGAAATTAGGTTGCCACTTCATACCACAATGACTAGAGACGATTCTCTTGAGATATTTTGCACCATACCTGACACAAGGCCGGTCAAATATATCTGCATTCTCAAACAGCGTATTTAGCATATCTGATCACTTTCTTATGCAAAACGTCAAAAAAATATGTACAAATTACTAAAGATTTAATAGATTTTTATATTTAATGCGGCATTATTATTACTTATATTATTTACATTATATCGTCATTGCCATAGTCACAACGTTCCGGCCGCTGTACACTCCGGCCATTGCACGCTCTGGCCTTCTTCAGGTGATTCGAATTTCGAACCGAAGCATTTATATCACCCACCGAGATAGATTATTCTAGTTCCACATGCCATGTCACTTCCAGATGTCTCAGTTTGTCTCAACTCTCCAAGGACACATGGCCAAGTGTATAAAGACGTTGTTCAGATCCAGTGGCTATACCCAAAGTGTTTTGTGTTCACTACCATGCCGCTGCAGTGGAGATCCAAAAACTTGGACAGTTGACTTAAAGGGAAATAACTGAGAAATCTGGAAGAGGCATGACACGCGGAACTAGAACAATCTACCCCGGCGGACGAAATGAATTGTTCGTGTCGAAATTCCAATCACCGCAATACGGCCGGAGCGTACAACGACCGAAACGTTGTGGATATGACAACGCAGATGAAGTTAGCAGTACGAATAATTTAAATAACGCAAGTAACCATGATACCTCATCTCAGAGATATAGAAAGGTAGTTTTATTATTATAACCTTTGTTTTTAGTAGATACGTGGATTTGAGTAAAATATCCCCTTTATTTACTTATATTATTTATTTATTAATTTTTTTAAACGGTTTATTTTGTCTACCGGTCTGCTCATCTTACTTATTATAAAACGCAGATTGTGTGTGTGTGTGTGTGTGTGTCTGTACGTTTATATATGGGATCATATTTCCTACATTTTTCAACCGATTTCAACAAAACTTCACAGGACTACGTAAAATTAACTTGTGGTGGTTCTGACAGCATCAAAAATTGGAAAAACACAATTGTTTCTGCATGAAATCAATTTGAAAACACGATTAAGAGGCATCAGTGAATGAAAGGGGGACAACTCATATCAAGTTATACTTATTATAAAACCCAGGTCGTTTGTGTGTGTGTGTGTGTGTGTGTGTGTGTGTGTTCATTTATATATGGGATTGGATTTCCTACATTTTTCAACCGATTTCAACAAAACTTCACTTTTTTTTGGCAGGTAGTGTTTCTTATTGTCTTGCACCTTTTTCTTTATTTTTACATTCAGAATGCTTTAAAAATTCCATTTACAAGACAATTGTTTATAATAAAATTCTCTTCAATCGGTAGAGACCCATAACGATTGAAAACAATGTCTTTGTTTAAGTTTGGGTTTGACCAATTCGTAAAAAACTAAAAAAAACTAATTAAGACATGCGTGTCCGTCAACCTTAAACAATAATCTTTCTCAATTTTATTTTTCAGTCTTTATGATGGTCAATACTTGATCTATCTCTTACTGTTACATCCCCGGGCAACACCGGGCTCTACTGCTAGTTTATAATAAGTTAACAATAATTAGCTCTATTGTCGGAGGGCAATGCGAATACGAATCTTCGTCCATCGTGATGGGAGAAACGAGCATCTGATCCGGAATGTTATAGAGTACACGGTTATGGGCGGTAAACAGGCAAATAAGATACTAATTGCCTTTAAGCAACATCTCGTTCAAATTTTTTTCTTGAAAAACATTTTTATCGAACATCTGGATTAAAAATAAAATATATTATTCTACATATGAAACTAGTGGAAAGTGGTCAGTATCGGAGATCCAGTATTTATCGACTCTGTGAGTATATTAATTAACACTGCTCACTGTCAGATTCACAATGCATTACGATCTTCTAAGCAAGTGTAGTTTCCCCATTCTCTCCACACACACACACAAACACACAAACACACATAGATAGATAGATAGATAGATAGATAGATAGATAGATAGATAATGAACATGCAGAGATAGATAGATAGATAGATAGATAATGAACATGCCTAGATAGATAGATAGATAGATAATGAACATGCCTAGATAGATAGATAGATAGATAGATAGATAGATAGATAGATAGATAGATAGATAATGAACATGCCGTGATAGATAGATAGATAGATAGATAGATAGATAGATAGATAGATAGATAGATAATTTATACGACAGGATATAAGTTGAATCCGCTACCCTGGTTTTAACCTTACGGTATTTCAGGCAAGTTTTATCAAATGACCTCGTAAAGCTTTATTTTATTTTTTTTTAACTAACACACTTTTAAATAAACGAACGCTTTATTATTTTCTTTTAAATAAATAAACAAACAAATGACGTTAGGTGTAATAAAAAGAGGAGAGGAGGATATGAAGAGGGAAGGAGAATAATAATAATAATAATAATAATAATAAGAAGAAGAAGAAGAAGAAGAAGAAGAAGAAAAGCTAGGGTATTTTAAAAATTATCGGTGGGAGAGTTAAATTGAATTTTTTTATTCAGCTTCATATCTGCTTAAGAAAAATTTCTTGATATTATGCAAGGACAGAAAACCTCCGTTTCTGCTTCAAATGTATTTTGGTGATCCGGAAAGGCCATTATTGCTGTTGGCAGATGTTGCAAATATCGCTGTGCCTGTTATCAGGCTTCGCCTCTTTTTAAAATTTGCCAGCTTACAATTGTATCCCGTTGATTTTTATCTTTTATATTCCACATATGTTCGAAACGAGCTCTCCTAGCAACTGACGTCTTTCACATAGGAAAAAAGTTAACAACGATAACTGGAAAGTAGAATCTCAGACTGATGCCAAATCGGTCGGGTTTCGATCCAATCTTCTAGCAATCGGATGTCTAGCTACACTGATGAGAGGTGATACAGTGAAACAGTCAGCTAGTATATATATATATATATATATATATATATATATATATATATATATATATATATTATATATATATTTGTATATTGTACCACAGAAGGAAAACGTAGCTACTGATGTACTATTTTCAGGAGAGGCTCTGCCTACATTTTCACCACACAGCACGTCCCTGATATATATATATATATATATATATATATATATATATATATATATATATATATATATATATATATATATATAAGTGACATTAAAGAGAACCGAAAATGTATTGTGATTATTTTTCTTGATGTCAGGCAATCGTTTAAATTATTTATTGAGCATCTGATCAATGATCACATTATACAAGTTTAATTTGAAACGAAACTCGAATTTTTTAAATTTTATACAAGTTTAATTCGAATAGATACTGTCATATATATTTTATAATTTAAACGAATTCATTTACATTTAGTTTACTTTTATTTTTCATTACATCATTATGTGATGCAATGGAAAATGAATATATCATACTAAGATAATAGGATATATGCCAAGACTGTTAAAATATATATCTATATCCATATATATCTATCTATCTCTCTCTCTCTCTCTCTCTCTCTCTCTCTATATATATATATATATATATATATATATATATATATATATATATATATATATATATATATATATATATGTATACATGCACGTATGTATATATATACATATATATATAAATATATATATTTACATACATACATACATGCATATAGATACACACATATATATTCTCATATATATATATTCACACATAGTGTATATATATATATATATATATATATATATATATATATATATATATATATATATATATATATACACACACATATATATATACACCCACCTACAAATATGTATGCACACATATTAAAAACACATATACATATACATACATATATACAAATACACTAGCGATATATATATATATATATATATATATATATATATATATATATATATATATATATATATATATATATATATATATATATATATATATATATATCGTTATATGCACTGTGTGTCTGGGTGTAGACATTTGATGGCAATATTCTTGTAACAAGATCTTCCTGGTTCCTGGAGCATACATAATCCTTTCACTTTATTATTCTATGATTCTATGGTAATCGATGGATTGCTTAGGATGCGAAGAATGTTGCTGCCTTGTAATATTCGAAGCAGTTGAGATAGACAGAAGCAATGCATCAAATCGGCGCTCTTATGAATTGGTTAAATTGGCCACAAAAACATTCTATAACTAAGTACAATTTTTTATGGGTCTGCCTTCATTGGGAAGGAAACTGACATTTTCTACAGATTTTTTAAGACTTTCGGAGTAAATACATGTGAGGGAAACAGGCCTTTTGCCATGGAAATTGGCGTGAAATTATTCCAGTCGATGCGCTTAGATTTGAAACTGCGTCATTAGTCCCAAATTCTGAAACCTCAGCACGAAATTGAGCTTTTACATGCTAACATGATTTTAACATTATTACTAAAACACACATCCATACGCGCACACGTCTCTCTATCTTTTTCTTTCCTATATATATATATATATATATATATATATATATGCGTGTGTGTGTGTGTGTGTGTGTATGTATGTATGTATGTATGTATGTATTAGTGCTTCTTGTGGAAATTTCTAGGTTCAGCGTAAAATAAAATCCCAAAATTCTGATGTTAAATCGGACAGAATCTGCCTATATATTTATAGGGAGTGAAAGTCATATATAATTAGAGTTAGTTAGTGTGTGTCTGTGTGTGCGCGCGTGTCTGCGTGTGTGTGTGAGTGAGTGAATAATTGAGTGAGTGAGAGAGAGAGAGAGAAAGAATCATACAGGTTAAACAATGTATTAAGGAACAAGAAAATTTCGTTACAAACGAGAGAAAATTAGCTGATCTGAATTCTAATATCATTCCTCCGCTATACCAGAGCTTACCAGATAATTTATCCACAGATTAAATGGAGTCATGAGACACAGGCATGTTGTCTTACAGGAGACTGCGTAGAATTGTTTGGACAGAGCATGATGGCAAAATTTTATGAAAATTAGAAACAAAAATTATCAAAAATATCAGTTGGAATATTTGGGACATATACAGAAGACAGTCTGCTTGGAGATTCTGACACTCAAGTGACACATTAAACATAAAAAAGAGCACAGGAAATATATACTAACCTCCGTCGCAATCTTGTGTAAAGGAATTTCAAGAAAGGGAATATGAAGTATAGTTAAAAAAAAAATTGCTATGAGTTACAAACAATAGATACTTGTGGAGAGCTACAGTAATACGACACACGCACGCACACACACATATACAAATATAACAATTTTGTATTTTGTCTGTTGACCTAATCTTTATTGTTTGTAACAGCGTTTCGGCCGTTTTGCCCATTGGCCTTCCTCACGTAAATATCGATCTGGGTAAACTACAGTGTATTCTAAACTGAACCCTTGATTTAATTTACACTCTGTTCTCTTTCCATTAATCATGTCTAGGTTTATCGTCCAATTCTTATTTTTATTTGTTTCTGTTCAGTTATTGCCTGTCCGCTTCCACCGAGTGTAAGTACACACTTCTCGACCCAGGAATTGAACTCACAACCACTACATAAGCAAATTCACAACCCAACGCATTGTCCCCTTGGCCAAATCAGAAAATGGCTTCCAAGCAACAAATTCTATTATTTTGGAGAGAAGGCTTGATTAATATTAAGCGACCGTACACTAGAATTTACTCTAGGCTTGATTTGATTTATGTTGTTTTACGGCATATCAACAGCTCAATAGATTATTTAATGCTGATAAGTTTTTATAATAGGTTCGTTTGAATGGAATATGTGTTTTATGTGAGAAATCAGTTTGCAGATCTAGTTACATTGACGTAGTTTTGCAAAAAGGATTTTTGTCGAGAGCCAAATTTATTGCTGATAATATACATTTACTTTTCTAAAAAGGTATTGCAGGTAATATTTTTTAAATGATATATTTCTTGTATTTTTAATGCAAAAATCTATTTTTATTCTTGCATAATATTTTGACCCGATTTTAGGGTTAAATATTTGCCCATAGCGAGAACCCCCAACAGGTGCTACCACAGTGACAGAATTTACTGTCTCGCAATATAAATTAGATTTGAACTAATTTGACTCAAATATGCCTTGAAAAGGGACATGCGCTTGGATTCGCATATAATTAATATAAGTTATTTCAGTTTATCGCCTAATCTTACTAAATTAGTACTTGAAAAAATCTAGGATAAGCAAATTTTAAAATTAAAACCTTAGACATTAAATATATATAAATAAATATTACAAAATACTTAAATCTGTTAATTAATTATTAATAACGAAAGAGTTGAAATAAAAATAAAGCGTTCGGTGGCTTAAAATGGATCGCGTTTTTTATTTATATTTTTATATAAGTAAACCAACATCTTGTTTTGAAATAAATTTATTTTATTAAAGATGTTGATTCATCATGGAAATGAAAATTTTCTGATATATTTAGTACATGAGTGCATATATTTTGAGCTTACCTTGGAAAGTTTGAAAAAAAGAGTAAAAATTTACATATGTTAGAAATGATTTAACAACGAAATAAAACGTGTCACACGGAATTCCGAAAGCCTATTTGAATAGCGAAAGATGCATTTCAAAAGCTATACAAAGTATTAGGGAACATGAATAATTTCGTTAAAAACAATGGAAACGGTAATGAACTCTAATATAATATCAGTCCTTTTATTTGGCAGTGAATATTGGATATCTCCTTAGAGATGACAAAGTAACAAGGATGGGCATCTCCAGAAGGTGGATGAGAATACAGTGGATAGAACATATAAGCAATGAGGAAGTTTTACTGAAAATAGAAACAAAAATTAGGAAGAGATATTTGAAATACCCAGGGAACTTTATGTGGAAAGAGGTCTTTGGAAATTTCATACCCACAGTACAGACTGAAGGGAGGGAAAAAGGTGAAAACAAAGTACAA